GGGGGCGGCGGCGTTGACCCGGAGCGCGGCAGGTGCGCGGGCGATGCCCGGCGCTCGCCGTTCGAGTGCCGCCCCCCTCTCTCCCGCTTCGCTATCGTCCGCCCTCGCCCGCTGCCAGCGCGCCACCGCACCGCAGAGAACGCGCCCGAGATCACTCCTCGCTCTCTCCCAGGCCCTTCCACCCCGGGCGCCCGCGCGCGATTCTGGCGCGACAGGCCCTCTGGCCCACTCCCCTTTCACTCGGACTAACTAAAATATCATAGATTTCTCAATCACGTAATTTATTGTAAAAGGTAACGGTCGGAAATGTAGGCGGTTGTAAAATGAATTTCTCCACTAAACTGGCACACTTCGTGATTTTACTCAATAGTTTCAATTTTTACTTAAAAATGCAAATATTTGATTGCGTTATTCCACCAATCCTCATACTGCGTGTAACGACTAAATTCCCAAACTTAGAGCGTCATAGCTAACAACATAGATGACGCCATGTGATGGCAAGTCTCCAAAGACGAGGCCAGCCGCCGTTCGATATTTTCTATCCATGTGTTGTTTTATGGATCAAGGAAATCTAATTTCATAATGATAAATTAAAAAAATGCAACAAATGTAACCCTCTAAAGTTCTTGGCTTCGAGTCACATAAAAACTACTTTATTAACTTTAATTCCCTACAGTTAACCTCCATAAAATTAAGATTGATATAATTGATATGACAAGAGGTACTAGAATACAAGTGCTCTACAATTTATGGTTCACTATTTACAAAAACTATCACTTATCCTAATGCAAGTTATATAGTTCGTGTCGTCATATTAACTACAAAAATTTAATTTGAACGTTTCAAAATATTTTATTTTTGTGACGAAGACGTTGGTGTGCACAACAAAGAAAAATCTATCAAGTTGTTAAATGAAAATTAAAGAATGGTAGTTGTCTGACACAAGTTTCATGTTCTTTTAATTATGGCACGGGAATGACACTTCAGACAGGAATGAAATAAAATTATGCGATTCTGTGACTTTGTATCTAGAAACTTGTTAAACTGTCTACATGGGAATCTGAATTTTAAAATTCCTATAAAATCGTTTCTTCTAAACACAAGATTCCAGTGTCCATATGTACCATCTAGACAACTGTTACGCAATAAATCCTCTAATACGTGACTACCTCTTAAACAGGAAGTCTTGTATTGAAATTAACGAAATCTGCTTTTCTTTTTTTGTACAATAAAAAAACCGAAACCTATCAAACTTTTTTATTACTTCCTCGATGAAAATTTACCCACTTTCAGGATTTCAGGCATTAATAAGAGCTTCCTCATTCCAATTTGTTTCAGCAAAACATGCTACATAGCTAGCTGTAAAATTTCACACTTAATGACAATACACTTATTTTGTTTTAAAATAATTTTAAAATATATTATTTAGGAACTATAATACACTCTATACAATGTAAATCATATCGGAAGTAGGAGAAGTTAGAAGTGAAATTTTGATAAATATTTCAACATTCAAAGACGATAGTTCATAACTAAAATAAAGAAATACTTGAGCGAAGTTTGTATAGTCCACTACGGAGATGCCCCATGGATCTGAGCATGTCAAGAAAGAATGTTGTCTAACTTCATTATAAAAATAGAGAGTTCCTCCTTCACTTGGGTACGTCCCTCCGGTAACACTTTGTTTTATACAGCCGATCGGTGTCCTCTGCCACTTCTTCCCGGTGCCACCTACCGTTGACCATCGCTGCCTCACCCCTCCGCTGTCACCGGAAGTCACCCGCAGTCGCCGCCCAGCTCCTCTCCCCGCCATCCCATTACGCTCCCTGCCGTCCTCGTACGCTCTCCGTCGCCGGCCCCGCCCCCAAAGGGGGCGCGAAGCGATAGCAGGATCGATGGCGCTTAGCCCAAGTGGCGGTGCGGCGGTGGCGGCTCCTTCCGGCAGAGCGCGGTGGCTGTGGCGGCGGCGGCGGCGGCGGCGGCGGCGGCGACGGTCTCATCCAGCCAGATCGAATGCACGCGCCATCCTCAAGCCCCACCTCCTCACCCTCACCCAGCCCACTCGGGCCTTTCACGGCCCCCCATCGTCGTGGCCTGCCGCCCGCACTCCTGTGACATCCCCGAGAGCGCCTCGCAGGTACCTGTCCTCCCCCGCTTCGACCTCTCCCCAGCCAGGCTTTCCACCGTCGCGTCACGGCGTTCTGGAGCTCCGACAAGAGTCTCAGGCGGACAGTCGCGGCTTCGGAATTATATTAAGCCCGGTATACACGGTACAGTTTTCGGGCAGAAACTCAAGATCACAAACTGACAGTATGAAAGTCAAAAATTCGCATACACGGTCAGTGCGTTTTCTGCATGAATCGCCACAAGACACTAGGAGTTCTACCGGGAAACAACTGAATTGCTCCGTCCGAGTACTTACAGTGGTGATATTTCTGTGCGTTCTGGCTGTGTGAGCTCTATTGGTATAATCGTATTAATAAACCATGAAAAGAATAAGTGAAAACTCGAAACCGCCACGCCAGTACACATAATTTCACTTAACACAACCATACCTTCACACACCTAACCACAAAATCGAAATGGCTGATTTTCGGCGTGTCGGGTAAATGCGGGTAAATGGTTTAATGTTGCTAGTATTCTACCGCTAGAGGCGCTTGTGTCAAACTCTAAGTTTAAAAAATTACGAACATACTCAATATGTTTCGTGCAGAAAACGTGCAGTCTGAACTGCATGAGAATCTCCACGCTCAAAAAATGAACGGTATACCGGGCATTGGAAACTTGCAAAACCTTACAATCATATTACACGAAACAAAATCACGAGTGGTAGAAACAGATGAATGGCAAGGAGTAGGAAGGACGCTGATAGTGGCGTATTATGCAATCACTTTGATAGAGAATCGATTGTATTTTCAATCAATGAGATGGCGTTGATGTTCTGGAAACCACCATTATTGAACACCACTCTCCAAAATGAACTGTGCTTTGCATTCTGGACTAAATCGTGCAAATGAGAACATTAGACTAAAATTAACTAGATTAACTTTCTCTTTTAGACAACATAACGAATTCAGTTCAGAGTAACGTCACAAAGAAGAAGAGCTCATGATGCAGGTAAAGGCAGAAAATCACAAATATTGCTAACAGAGTGCATTTTACAATGATGCATCTATCATTTTATCGTGAAAACTCTACATATTTAGAAATTAAAATATCTAAAATGTCATTAATGAAGTTCTGCTTTGTGAAATCCCTTAAGCGTACAGCGGTAGTTGACAATTACGTTTGTCTACGGACACACAGCAAGGAAATGGATGAGCTATTCCATATTACGCGACCAAGAGAAAGGTGACAGAAACTCTCTATCTGCGGGCAGGAACACAATGTTGTATGCACGTTATAAATAAAGAACTCCTCTACTTCTATTAAATGATTCGGTCGAATATCGGCCTCCCGGCTTTGAGTCCGCCAGCGCCGCCTGCATGTCCGCTGTGTGTGTGTGCGCAGTGCGAGAAGCGCGGGATGCCCGACTACGTGGAGCTGGGCGGCGCCGAGGGCCTCGACACTTCGCAGCTGAACGTGGCCGACTCCATCTGCGGCACCGACTCCAAACCTGGTAAGTCGCACGCTCGCCTTCTACTTCTTCCCCTCCATGTTCCCCTTCTCTTTTCCATGAAAAGGACGCTATACTCTAGAATAACTACGTTTAAATTGCCAAACCCAATCTATTTGCATTTTTGTAATATTTTAATCGATAGACCAACATTGTAACCTCATTTTAATAATTAGAAAATATTTTTAAAATGTTAGAAAACAACATGAAATATATAAAATATTAAGAAAATCACACATTTAATTGCGATTCCCAGATATGTTATCGGTTTAATTTCTTCTCTTTCTAAATAATTCATATTTACAAGAATATACTCTTAAGATACAATAGCAATGTTTAAGAAATCGTTAAAGGAATCGTGAATTTGCCATTCTAATGTAGAAAAAAAAATTTAAAGAGAATTTGGAGTAAATTAGTCTGCTGTAAAGCGAGAAGAAACAAACCCAGAAACAAAGCAGAAAGTATGCGTTCGTAGGCTTCCGCGGACGAAGTCAATACATCCTCGGCTATCCACGATGAGCCGCGTTTCGGTCATTTGGGCTGACGTTTCGGCCATCTTGTACAGCTCTCAAGAAGATCACAGCCAGATGGCCGAAACGTCAGCCCAATTGACCGAAAAGCGGCTCATTCCGAATAGCCAAGAATGTATAAAACAGAAAGTAGTTATGCTTGGAAATGAAGTCCAAGGGAGAATTTCAATTTGATTTTGATGGTTTCGGGTCTTGAAAGTGTAAGCTGCACCACACACGCGACATTTGGAAACGTCTGACCAACTGTTAATTCCAATCCGAGTAGTCTGAGGTGCACTGCGAATGTTCAATTTCTTTGATGTGCCACAAAATACCCACATGCAGTGGTTAGGGCGAGTAACGAAAGGAGTAATACGGTGTGTACCTGGTGATAGGGTGATCGGTAGAGAGCACCCTAGCCTAAAAGATACAATGCTTTAGTGATCTCGGCTAAATCGACAGCTGGCATTCAGGAATGCCAAAACTTGCTTATATGTTTCATTTAGAACGTCTTCGCCTGTTGAAGAAATAAATTTCGCAAAATAGTGCAAAAGGGAAAAATATGAGTGCAAAAATTACAAAATGCACGCTTGGATAATGTCCCTTTAAACTAAACGGTTAAAAGGATATTTTCAGATTTAATTCTGTCATATTCAAAATTTGTGATAACGGTACCTTAAAGTAAACGGTTAAAAGGATATTTTCAATTTACTCCTTCAGATATCAGTTGATATATCTCATTGTGAATACTGAGCGCTACCGAAGTTTCCAAACACATTCCAACAGGTTTATAGGGCAAACTGGCTCGAAATCCTTGAAATGAACTATAGTTCCTATAAATTATAGTGCTTCTGCTGCAAGGAGGATTAAATATTTAGGAATGAAAAGGATCTAAATAGATCAATATGAATTAGTTGCTCTATGAGGACTGATATGGCTATGGAGTATTCAAAGTATGAACAGGAACGACTTGAAAGTACGCACAGAAAATAGTAAGAATATACTATTCGCATTTGAGTTGCATTAAAATGGTCATTACCTTTGTATGGGGGGGGGAGGTCCGAAAATTAATTGAAAAGACGCAGGTGCAGGATAAGTTCCTTATCAATCAGGGTCACGCTGTCAAAAAGATTCAGTTGTGTTATGTGAGATTTTTCAGCGCATGTTAAGTAGCAAAAAGTAATCTTTTTCAACCCCTCTCATGCTAGAAGTTTGTACCATTTATTCTGAAACATCCTGTTGAAACGAAAAGTCACAATATGTTCGGTAGGTCAACATTTTATGGATAGTATTTGAATGGAAGCCCGTACATTCTTAATTAAATGTGGTGGTGATGCAATTATTTTCAACCCTTCGTAATGCATTAGAAGTTTGTAATATTTATTCTAAAACATTCTGTAAGAAATAATGTGGTCTGTACGCCAACCTTTGTGCCACAGGGACTTGAAGCAGTATATTTAAGTATGCTGAATCAAAGGCTACGTGTTCACAACTCCTTTACGGCATTAGTGTTTCTATGTTGTGGAGAGATTGGGATTTTCACACGCTTTTCCACATTTTACATGCGAAAATTGTCCAAAGGTATACTTTCTTTAATCATCATATCATCCTCCATACAGTGGAAGTCACGACACGTCAAACCATAATTGTGATCTCTTACCCTAGAACGGAGAGGTAAAGACGAAAGTCACCTAAACACCTATTCTCAGAATTGAGTATGACCCATCATTAAGTTTTCATCAATAATTCGTCCATGCCTGTAACATAATACGAAGAAAGTACAATACATAATTTATTTCTCAACGCAAATTTCAATTATGAAATGGAGTTTTGAATTGATCACTACGAGGAAATACGCCAATAATTACAATCTCTCTGGTATTTTCTCTGAAACTTCAAAAGACTTCGTTGGAAATGTAAACAAGTTCGAACAGTAAATATCGGGAACCAATGCATCTCTTATTTAAAGTAAAAGAAAGTAATAAAGTACGAGATAATTAGTGAAAGAGCATTGAAAAACAGTTTTATGTAATTCGTTCAGATATGTTGAGAGAGAACGAACATAAGGGTACAAAAGGCACAAAATAAATTTTGGCACGCTTGAGTACAGAGGCGTACTCTTACGATGCCGCGAAAACGTTCTTGAATCTTTGATGGAAAAGAAACGGACTTTGTAACCCTCTCCAAATAATGTTTCTGCTCTCCCACCGCCTCCCGTTTCATGGCTTCAGAAAACGTTTTCATAGCGCCTTGAGCGCCACACGCATGAGTACAAGGCAAGGAGAAATTTGTGGTTAAAGAAACATGAGAAGAGAAAAGAAGTGCAAGTTAAATTCATCCAGATGGTCTTATAAATGCGCCGGATCCTTTTGTATTTGGACAAAAGTATGAATAAAAGCCAAGTAGAAAGAGAATGCATATTTGATAAGAGAGAAATCGAGAGTGGAAGAGAAACGCAGGGAAGAAACGGTTGTGTGACGTAAGGAATGGCTGATGTTGGGTTCCAACTTAACATGACGTCTCGTTTGTCTTTTCACTGTTCTTCTCCTGCTCAAAAATGCGGCAGTTGGTTTCTGAGTATACAAGGAGGCGGAGAATATGTCAAGAAATGCCATTTAAATTTGAAAGTAGGGTGTTTTCTTTTCTTGGAAGATGTATGCAGAACATGAAGTGAAGGCTAAAGTGGGGTTTGTCCATTTCTTCAAGACAGCGGAACATCTAAATTACTAATTTCCGATGCGGACAGAAATTGAAAGAAAACAATGCAATTTCCGGCAATGTAAAAGGTCTCGTTTGTCTTTTCACTTAGATATCCAAGAACAAGAGAAAATCTAATAGATTTATTGGAAATAGGTAAAATGGGTTGTTTATGACGTAGGATACTTATAAATCCTATAACTCCTTCAGTAATGTAATAATACTTTCGAATAAAGAAGTAAATGACCAGATAATGTCCTGCGTGAATACCTTTATCTTCTAACACATTACTTTATGTTCTGAAATGTTTTCAGAAATCAATGGAAGTAAACCCTTTCAGTCACCTCGTCCAGTCAATTAGAAACAAAAATATTTATTGAAGATAAAGTACAATAAATATTAAGAGAATGAAGATTTAGAGAAAACGAGAGCCTTTTAGATAAATTCATTCAAAAGATAGATAAAAGAGTAAGTGAGAGACTCATAACTAAAATGACTGCCACATTGACATATTCAGATGAAGGAAGAATTTTTTAATGTTAAAAGTAAGTATTTTACAAGAATGTATAAATAATTAATTTTCATAAAACTCCCAATATTTAAAAAATGTTAAAATCCCCAATATGTAAAACATTTCGATCTTACCTTTATGTCTTCTCTGAAGTATTTCTACTTCATTAAATACGCGCATATAGGCTGGTCATTAAATGCTGTAAGGCGGAGCCTCTTCTATAGAAATCGATCCCAAAAGAAATTTAAAAATATATTTTCTAATGAATTAATTTATTAATAATAGATTTAAAAATTAGTTGTGGCTATTTTTATGACTACAGCAGAAGAGAGGAGTACATAAGAGCATTCAATAATAATTTTCAAACGAGATCATTTTATTTATCACATTGTTATATCACATTGAAATGGTTTTTGGATGATTGTAGCTAAAATTGAATGCAAGATTCACTGGTAGGATACGCCTCCGCAAGTAACGTAACAACTTTCTCAAGATTTTCGTCGCTAGCCTCTTCCATGTCCTGTGTTTCTGGTGCAGATTCTGGTGTTTGTTAACTTTAAATGCTGATCTAAAATTATCTGCAACTACTGCCAATGTGATAATATATACTCATGTTGTAGACAGCAAAGACGCCACGACTTTTAGAACACACCCTATACTAGAGATCTAAAAAGTAACATTACTCACTTCTCGAAGGAAATTTGAGCCAATTAATAAATGATTAGTGAAAAATCATGTATAAATCAGGAAGTAAAAAATCAAATTCATTGTCAACATCGTTGTGGTTGTTGTTTTATTTTTTTGAAAATTTCGTCGGAATCTGAAAACCCGCCCAAAACCGCCATTGGGCGGCTTACTGCGGAATACTGCCCAACCCACCCATTGAGCGGTATTCCGCGAAGTCAATTTTTGTTCCACGAGACAGGCAGTCATTTTCCAGCCCCAAAAGCGGAATTCCACATAATCTGACCACCCTGTCCGCACGTGTCCCATTTACCGCATGCCCTAGCTGCGTCCAACACTGCGGACGCGGTTGCTGTTTGTGCAAATAAAAAAACCGCGTGCTGCGTGCGCAGGGAGCACCGTGGAGACGATCCTGTGCGGCGTGAGCGCGGTGCGCCTGGTGTCCAGCGGCGAGTTCGACAACGCCGTGACGGTGGCCGTGCGGCAGGCGAGCGAAGACGACATCGACGCCGCCTCCGTCGTCTGCATGTGAGCGCGCAGGTAAGCACACAACTGTCCCTCTACAAGGAGAGCCCTTCGACACTCTCCTACCTTCTTGGTAGGGGAATAGGGGAGATGGATGGATTTAAAATTACATTGTCCATGGGCTGAAATACTGACGGCTACTTAAACCCATAGATAGATAAATAACAACAAAGCTATGCGTTTAATATCCTCTAATAGCTTTATTTTCAGACTTGTAATTACGAGTTATGAGTTACAATGATACGTAATAAATCAGTTAACATTCGTACTGAATCATTCTAAAATACTGGAAATAATATATATGAAACATGTATTGTTCTTCGGTTTCTAGGTCAATGAGCCCTACCTCTATCAGGCGGTTTGTTCAGCTTCCATTGATCTGTTCAGCAAATTCTAGATAGCCTATTGTTTTGCTTTTGGACAAAAACGTAATTTCACAATGCGCATGTTTTGCTTGGCTCTCCCTTTGCAAGATGAGGGAGGAATAAAGCCGGTGTGTGGATTGCTATATTTTTAGAAATACTATAAATAAAATCTGTAGATCATTTACCGTAGCGAATAGGCATTCTATTATTCGGGAACAAAAATGCATTGTTTTCAAATGTTGCTAACCTCCCAGTCAGTACATTCTTTCATAACATATTAAAAAGACAGGGAAGGGATTCTGGAGCACGAGAAAACGTACGGAGACTATTCTTCCCATAACATAACATATTTTTATTGTTCTATTTTACAGAACTAAATAAATTCAAAATTACTTTAACAATATTGAATGCCCACCATTTTATGAATGTTCACAAGAACGTTAGCAACCTCGCCTCATAGTAACAAACGAAATACAAATTTCACGCATATGTTCTCCTAAACGCAAAGAAAATAACCCGTATTTATACGTCAAAAAATAATCCACGAGGAGTACTATTTATCTAAAGCAAATTCAGTTCTATAAAGAAAATCGTCAACTCCGATTCATAAAGAAGTTAAAACATTCAAAAGCCAACGCAGATGAAAGTTCCAACTGATCTCTCGGAAGATCTTTTAATTTCCATCTAAATCCTATTACTAATACCTCAAAACTGAGCAAATTAATGTGGGATTTCATCGCCCCGAAAAGATCACATCTCATTCAAGACGTGCTCTTGACTTCTTAAAAGTCGATTAGCGTTCTTCAGCGGGAACACCTCAAAGACGAAAGGAACACCCAGGGCAGATCGTTTCTTCCGGGAACGGGGCGTGATTGCCACTAGAGACGTCGAGGGGCTGAAAGGAGTCTCGCTGCCGCGAATAGGGAAACCTTCCGCTTTAAAACCTCATCATTCCTTTGAAGAGATGCGCACATTCGCTCCAGCCCTCGTAACTACATTGTGCGCGCTCGTATTTTCTTTGCCAGTTGGTGCTTATCTGCGTAATAATCCCTTCCTTAGTACCGATTTAAGGGCAGTATAAAAGAAAACTCCAAGCAAGAAGATTAATAAGTTTATCACAATGATCTGTTTTAACAAAAGATGCACCAAAATTATACATTTTTTAATATTCTAATTACTTTTAATTTTCTTTTCTAATTTTACAGAATCTTCTGTGCTTCAAAACATACGTCGAAATACTTGCTAAGCCAAACTGTTCTATTCTATAACATGTACTATAACAAAATACCTCCAAGTAAGTTGTGAGTTGTTTGACACTGAGTAATGTTTATGATTTGGGGGCAGCAATCCGCTAAAAAAATAATTGTTTATGTTGCTTCAGCCAGTTAAACTATTCAAACATTTGCATTTATTTTACTTTGATGGCTTTTGTGCATTCATCAGAGTTTTCAAATTAATGTTTCTATGTAGGAAGTGACCTCACGTGTGTTAGATATTGATACATTTTGTTTGTATTTAAAATCCATTTTTTCAACGTTGCTTCTAAACCACCATGTAAAAGCCAGTTACTTTTAATTACACCTGACTGACTGTCCTGAAAAATAATTGCATTTAAAAATTTCTCTATTGAAACAAAAGGGAGAGAAACATTTAACGTCTCAAAGAATGTGGCATCTAAATTATTTCTTTCTTTACATTGGAGAACGAGCGACATATATCTAGGAGAGAAAATATATTCCTCGAGTTCAAAAAACAAATATAAGTCAACAAAACTGCTGCCGTCTTCAGGGAATCCAACTATCTACGAAAAGCTAACACGTATAACTATATCACTCCATCATCATTCTGCTAAACACAAAGCAAAGCAATAATATTCTGAAATTTTTTCTCAACATAATTATTGTAGAGTAGAAAGCATTTCCAACAACCACCTATTCGTATGATTGAGTCATTTCAGCATTCTAAAGGGTTGATCAAACTCTAAAATTGTATGGTTAATTCCTACAAGAGAATGTAGTTATTTCTGCCTAGTTCACTTTATTCATTGGAAAGTGACTATTTGGACTCCTCTTCCCCTTGGCTAACGATTAGTGGCGTAGACACTTGGAGTCGAAGGCTTAGGTTCCAGTAACACATAATGTTTGGGGGTTCAACAATTAGCCGGACTGGCTGAGATGCCTCA